TCTTGGTCATGGTCCTGCCCAGCTGTGTTGTAGCCCCATGCCAGCCTGATCAACAGGAAGATCCATAGATAGGAGGATCAACATAGGCACTCCTACTGGCACTCAGCCAGGTGCTTACTACAATGTCCTGTTTCACTCAGGCCCAAAAGACACTTAATGAGCAAATCCTGTCTTTTTTTTTTTTTTTGTCTTACAAAGGGAAAATGATTTGATTGAATAGACAAACACAGGTACCTTACATTTTGTGGAGGAAAGTAGCCAGCAAAAGGTCTGAGAATCCCAGTTTTGAGCTTCCTCCTCCAAAATTTGGCCTCAGTAGCCTGAAAAGCCTATGCAGAGTTCTCATACTCCATAGATTATGTTCAGTTAAACTGCCACCTTTGGAAGGCAATATGCTCCTTCCTGCTCTCATCAGCTGGTGCTAACATAATTTCCATTTTTCTCAGTGTTCCAGATATTTTTTCAGAAGAACCCTAGGGTGGCAAATGAGCCTTCCTTCTTGGCAGGGGGAAAGGGACGACCCCCTTGCAAGTGTTTGCACAATCCAGACATTAAATCCTGGCCTCAATTCTGAGAGATGGCAACAAACTATATAAGCTGCAGTGAAACTTGCTCCTGCAATGCATTGGGACAGAGAATGAAATATCATTGGTGACGGATTTGCCAACAGCGTACTAAAAACTAGGAGGACTGATGCAGGATTTAATATGTGGAAGATGTGCAATATTTCAAAGTTGTTAATGTTTGCAGTTTTTAAAAATTATTATGCTTGATGTGTGCAGCAGCTAAATCTTTCTTGTTGATAATCAGAGCTGATTTATCTCTTTTTAAAAATTGATCTCAAGCCATACAAGATCCTATGACTCCCAGGAGGAATTAAATAGCTCAGGCATAGTTATTTAGATGAAGTTCACCCCCTGACCTCTTCTTCATATCTCCAGTTCATACCTGTCCAGTTCATTTTGCCAGAAAAGCTGTTTAATCCTTCCTATTCCTCCCTCTGCTCCAAACACGACCCCCACTGAATTGAACTCATAATCATAGAACATAAATACAAATCTCAAAATTTCATCTTTCAAGGAAATAGGAAATTTTTATGACAGTGGGGAGATTGCTATAGCAATGATGGACTGGACAACTCAAGGGACTTGGGTATATGGAGTATCTCATTGCAGTTAAAATCAAACCAAAGGCAAAGACTTAGATCCAGCTCCCCAGTAAACCTTGTATGGGCAGAAGTCCCCACTAACCAATTGGATTTATTTTTTAACTAAATAGTTTAAATAACCTGTATTTTTTCTATTTTTATTATTGCTGTGTTCTTCTGCATGTCAGCTTATAGATTCACATGCGTAAGGGACTCTCCACATTGTAAAACACTTTATGAATAATGTTGTATGATATGTTCAGTACAGATCCTCATTTTGATTCACTCTAGTTCGAGAGCCTCTTTTCCCCAGCCTTAAATAAACTTTGTAAAAGTCTGTAAGAAGTATGATAGAATTTAGAACTACTTGAACTTTGAAGTCAACAAAATACCTTTACTAAGGGAAAATGGCCCACAGTGTTTCATGGTGTCATTTCATTCCCAGTGCTATATATTAGGTATGAAATTGCCATCTTGAATCTAATCATTAAACTCCAAGAGCATTCAGATTTGGGTTCATAATTCAGGTTGGGAAGACAAGCTTGCAAAATACATATCAAGGTTTGGATTTCAAACCATCTCAAGATATGCAGATGTTCAAATTATGATATTCTTGTCATTTATCCTTCCTTAAATTTTGGAGTAGCTGTAGTTGTCATCTGTGACATTTTTCACCTGTTCACATCAGATCATACTATCTGTTTAGCAAGATTAAGTTTGCTCAATTTGTAAATTTTTATTTCAGGTCTTAACCTTCAAGGAGATTACAAGTAGTTCTTTGCCATACATATCTACTTGGTTTACTGGCTCACTGACTTCATACACTCCATACTGGAACAGACTGGGAAGATATAAAGGGCATTACTGAGTGTAAATACATGTGGGGCGACTTATAGCAATGATAAATCAGAAAGGATGAAAGCATTTTACTGATACTGAATCTTATGTTACATGTTGTATGACAGAAACTGGTTTTACATGAACACTGTTGTTAGGGATTCAGCTTCTGGAAAAGCCATAGCCAAAATACTCTTTCAGTCATATTCCCCGTAAAGCAATAGAAGACAAAGGTGGAGAGGGACAGGTTGTAGAGGCCTCCTCGTGGACTGTCACACAATTGTAAAATTTCTGTTACAATCCTAAAGCATTACATAGCAAACAGAGAAAACATAGGTTGATATTGTATCTTAGTAGTTTATTTTACTCTCAGATCTCTGATTTCCTAGACGTTATTTGGATGTTACTCATGCTTCTGCTTGTCTTGAAAGTAGATTTTGTAGAAGAGTTGGCTGAAATATTCTTATTTGATTTTCTTTTTTCCCTGTTAAAATGGTCTTTTCCCCAAACTGGGAGTTTGCAAAGAGAGTTGTTACTTTTTCAAATGATGACCTGTTAGAATACCAGGCTTTTTGTTTATTCTTATTGACTCCTTTTTTGTTTTCTTTTATTTTAATCCTTTCTTGTCACATAGTCTATAGACTCAGCTCATGTTACTTTTTTCATAGTTTTTTTTTCTCATTCTGCTATCCTTTATCTTCTTCCAGCTCTTTTTGATTTGGACGTATTGAAGAATGGCAGAAAGAAACTGAAAAATGTTCCAAATTAATCCTGAACATTATCTTTATACTGCATAAGGGATTAAAAGAAAGGAAGAAGAGATGGGACAATACGACAAAAACTTTCTCATGAAAATAAAAGGAGACAAACAGATTCAAACAGTGTCATTACCTCACTGCATAGAAAAAGATCCAAATTTTTGGTTTTTACTTTTTCAATATTTTTTTTCCTTAGTCCTTTTTCTGTTTCCCACAAAGATGCTAGACAGCGATAAATTGCCCCATACTCTCTCCCCATTGCACTGTGGATTTTATAGAGCTTATTTCTTTCACAAGGCATGCATGCATGCATGAACTTTCTTATGGATACATGTGGCATAACAAAAAAAGTTTTATTAAGAATAAAAATCTCTTTTTCCAAAAAGAAAGCTGTGATGGAACCTGAGACTTCCAAAAGCTTTGTTACAATGAGTATGAATCATTTCTCTCTCTAGAGTAGAATGTATATATTTTGAACCACCTAGTCCAGACTTTCATCATTTGTCATTTATCCAGCAGCATCTCAAGGCAAACCTCAGGTTTTTCCTTCTTTCAGAAACTCTTTGTTCCTTGAATTTCCTTCTCAGTCTGGTAAAAGGTTCCAGGGGATAGGACTCTCCACTGTTACATAGGATCTTGCATCCAACATTTCTCATAGGCAGTAGAGGCTAGCTATTTTCACCAATAATTTTCAAAGGCAATAATTGTCAAAGGCAATGATTTTCAAAGGCAATAATTTCACCAGTATTTTTTAAATAGTGAAATCAGTGTATTTGTGGATGTACAGAGGAGGGCTTTTTTTTGCTGGGGAGGTCAAGTAATTTGGCAAAGGTTATGTGGCAGAACAACAGGAGGGAATGTAATGTTACCCAACACACCAGGGTGCCCCTCTACATCTCTGCCTAGGAGCTGGTTATCTAAGCAGGGTACGGGCTGTGAAACTGGCAGTCCCCACTTCATTTGATGGTTTATTCATTTTCCCTTTGCTTAATGTCACAGTTAACAATTTGCACCTTCTCTCTGCAATACTTCTATGTACTTAGGTGTTTGTTGAGGAAAACCCTGTTCTCGACGTATCAGCTTATGTCGTCCTCGTGCCTGACAGTCCCTGTTTGCACTATCAAATTTGAAACCAGCCTTCTGTTTGCCAGACAAGCAGGCTATGTACCTTTCACAATAGTGTCCTCTGACCAATATTTGTTTTTTCGATGAATTACAGAGAGACTCAGAATCAACGCGCCGTTCTGCTTCCAGCAGCCAAACGGTGTCTGGCACCATATCCAGGCTGGATTCACAGTTGGTCATTTTTGGTCAGAGTTTTGATGGATTTCACAAGGAGCATGAAGGATTGATCATTTCATTCATACTGAAGGCTCTGAGCAATTTGAGGCAGGTCAAGTAGCGCCTGCACTGACTGGGGAAGTGGTAAAGGTTTCATGTCAAACCACAAGAGGAAGATAATTGCAATGCAGAGTCCATGAATACACTGGCCTTATGGACTGTGTTGTATTTGTGCTGCAAGATGTGAATAGGAGAGATTGTGCCTCCTGATTTAGGGACTGATCCTGCAGCTTTGAACAGATTTAAAGAATAATTGCAATCTTGAAAGTAATATATTCCTCTGTTAGTAAAACAATTCAGAATTTAATTAAATAAGAGGAGCCCCAAGGTGTGAATGGCAAAGATGCATTAATAGCACAAATACGAAAAATACAGATGTGTACACCTGAGGTATTGTGTCACAGTGAAGACTCTGCTGTGGTCTCTCAGGCTTTGTTCCCCTGCTGTCCCACAGCTTGGTGCAGGAAAGCATGTGTGCATACCGCACTCTCCTAGTGTGGTGCTAAGAAGTTTGACAGTGAATCTAAGGATGTATTGATAACATCAGGCTAAACTAGCCCTAACAAAAGGGCATGTGCAATACATTGACAGTGCTTCATGGCTGTGCCACAAGGATTGGCATTGGAGGTAGTCTGTTTTTTTTGTCCCCAGTGGAAAGTTTATCATAAAGGAGACTGTAGAAAATAAAAGTTCCCTCTGTAGCAGCACTACAGGAATCTACTCTCAAGCAAACTCACTAAATTTTCTTCAACTAAAAGCTGACATCTTTAACACATTATTAGCACTTCATGTACAAGTCAGTGGACCAGGCAGTGTGCCAGTTAACACTCAAGGCTAGGGCAAAACACAGGTCGGGAGTGGGTGTCTCATCACTGAGCACAGGACCATCGCGAGAGCTCAGGGAGGCTGGGAAAGGTGAGGAAATGCTGATTTCCCATTGTCCAGGTTCAAGTAGCTGGAAAGCTCTGCTGCCAGAATTTCCATGCCACAGGCAACTTGTACCTGGAATAGGAATGGAAAATTAGTTACATGCAACCCTCATACGTCTGAATCAGTCCAAATTCTACTTCTGTTCTGTATCCAAAACTACTTCTGGCTACTATGCAAGGGTTTAAGTAGTTAGGAAGTTCCTCATTCTCTACAGATTATTTGCCCTTAGCCAGTAACACTCAGTAAATATAGCAAATGACTTCCCCAGAGAGATTTTGGGTACCACACATCATCTGAAGAATCTGAATGGAAAAGTTTCACATCTCTTCCTCATGTATAAGATCATTACTTTGCACTGATGTGAAGCAGTTGTATTTCTAAGAACCAGCCCACCATTCCAATTCAAAAGGTTTCCAGAGATTTTGCTTTTCATTTCCTCTTCCTGCTACATGGTAGCATGAACTCCATTAACAATCCCACCCACTCACCCACCCACCTAGAATCAATGGGAGACATAGCAAGCAGCCCTTTCCCTCCCAGAGAAAAGCCTTGCAACAGATACAAGCAGAAGTACAACTAGGCTTAATACAACCTCAGATTCTTGGTTTTTTAGCTGCATTCACTGCTGCCATGGGCATGTATTCACTATTGTACTCATGGGAGTTGGATTCACACTGCTGTTTCTGCAAACAGAGAGAAAATGCCATGAATTTAATTTGTGGTCACTAACCTCTGCCACTCCTGCCTTTGTTATTTAAGTAGGGCAGTTAGTCTGGCTGTTTTCAGTGGGAATATTAAAGTCAGAATAGACAGGCGCTCACATAGAAAACTTGGAATAAAACAAACTGAAAATGAAAACCACACATTGTCCAAAAGAATAACTAATGTCCATGGTCTCCTTTCTTTCCTGAGCCAACTGGTTCTTTGTTTTAGTGGTTTTGCTCCAGAACAGAGCTGGAATTGCTCGACTGATGATTTGTTTCCCCTTCTTGAAGAAAATAATCAGGGGAATTGCTTACCAAAGTAATTTTGCTGGCCTGTGCAGCATTTCTCCTCTTCCCTTTGATTCCCAGCCTTTAAATCAATAAACAATTCTGTCTTAGAAAAATTAAATCTGAGCTGTTGTCATCAATGACTGAATTCCAGTGTAAACTAACAACTCAGTCTCTTTGTCAAAAAACACATCACGTGCTGAGTGAGTATGTGCCCATCTCACCCTCTAAATGTCATTAAATCAAGTTCCCCATCCATGACCCTTGGAAGGAGGGTTCTGCAGAATCTCATAGACTTGCTTACCTTGTTCCTTAAGCAACAGGCTACAACACAGCAGACACAGGAAATCATGGCAAACATGATCAAACCAATAATTATCCATGACATGAGTCCCAGTGAAATGCAGTCTTCCTTATCTGGAGTTAGGGAGGAAAAAAAAAGTCATTACTGATAATTTGCATTCCCCTCCCACCCACCCCCTGCCCTGAGATAACTTTTCAAATTCTTTCCCTTTTCTCTTCACATTAATAAATTAGCAAAAGTGAGCTCTGGAGAAGAATTTTCATGGGGTGAAAAGCCACCTTGTAAAAGTGTATTCAGGAGGAAGCAGAACATTGCAGTTTTCCAGAAGCAGAGGTGAAACTGTTGGTACAACAGGGCTGAAAGTGTAGGCTGAAAAGAAACCAAGCCAGGCTTGAGAGCGTGGTGGTATTTCAGATCTGAGCAAGGCTTAAGCTTACATTCAGTGAGTACCACAGGTGACTTAAAGGGCAGCCTGGTCAAAAGAAAGGTGGACTTTGGCAGTCATGTTTGAATAGGAAGGCAAGCTGAGGGACACAAGATTACCCTTGCCCGGATCTGGGAGAAAATATGATTAGGTCATGAAACAGCTGGCAGTAGCTATGAGCATCTCGCTATCTGTACAAATGGACAGCTTTGGGAAACACTGCAGACAAAAAAGGATGTCACAGCTTGAATCTGAGAAGCTGTTTTAAGTTCAGAGAGGACTGAGGGATAATTTGATCCAACCACATGATTGTAGCCTTAGGATTTCAGCTTCTTTGTTTAGTCCTGGTGTTAAGTGATAGGAAAAGATAGCAAGGGAAGGACAACAGGCAGTACCATGTTGCAACTGAACTATATGGAGAACCAAGAAGGGATGTGAGCAAAACCACTATTAAATATTTCATCTTAATGTACCAAAGAGCCACTGAGTGAAAGGCAATTCAAAATTAAAGCCTGTGAAGTTAGTCCAAGCCCTTCTCAGTAAAAGGCCAAAAATTCTTAGCAATTGTGGACTCTTCTGCTCTAAGAAGGCTCTAAAGCTGAAGGCCTGCTTCAGAGAGGTGAACACCATCTTTTTCACATCACTGTGGCATCAGAGAGTTCTTTATACCACTACTAGCACAGATATTTGACAGCTGATTTTTTTTTTTATGCCAGGCACATGAAGATAGCTCTCAGAATGGATTTTTCCCCCCCAGCTAGAAATAATCTTAACATTTACATTCAGCAGCTTGGAAAATAGTCAATGGGAAATTTCTGCTGCACACAAAGGTGGGACTGCAGTACTCCAGAAGGTGTAGTCTAGCTAGCTTGGGTGCCACCAACAATATGCAGAGCTCAGCATGGCCTGCAAAACCTGCCCATGAAGATGAATAAATATGGAGAGGCCACGCTGAGCAGTCTGCCAACACAGCTCCACTGTTACCAGCCCCCTGCTAAGTAGTTTTAAGCTGTCTTGGAAATATCTGTGCAAACTCTACTCACAATTTTCACTGCAGCATAGCTATGCCCAACATCTACTTATCACTAAACTGAAGTGAGGGGAGGAGAAAAGTAAACTTACCTTGGATATACAAATAGGTTTCTTTCAGCCGGCAATCTATATAAGGAGGGGGTAAGAACATCTCCAGGCAGTAGGTATAAATGTCGATATGCTTTCTTTCCAGATTTTTAAGAATGAAAGTGGTGCTGCTATTTGAGTGCTCTGTCTGACAGTAGATGACATTACTCTTGGGGATAACTTTTTCCTCACTCAAATGGAGTGCACAGATCTCCTTCTTTTCATGCCCTTTGAAGAGGGTCATGCTGAACTCGCTCACATTTTTTGGGTTGGGGAATGTGAACTTGAAGTTTCCATTTTCAAATTCCACCATCACTTGGGGGTCAGAGACATGAGGCTGATCTGAAATCATGAAAACAATAAGTACAGTCACTCACTTAGCAATGAAAAGAATCCCTAAAATGTTAAGAAACTAATTTAAACAAAGCAAGTGAACCATGTGATTGAAACTTAAGGCATGTAGGTACTCAGAATAGGCTGGCTGTGGAAAGCAGCCTGTACAATGAGATACCAGTGCATCATCCTGGTCATGTCAGACATTACTGAGAAAATAAGTGAGGTAAGACCTGGACTGTTACCGCTATAAGGCTGGAGAGGTTACTGTTAGCATTGGATCAGTGAGTTACTTGATAATGTTTAAAGGCCCCCTTGGACCAAACACTATATGGACATATAATTTTTGCCTCAGACTGTCTTATTCATAGATAAAACAAGGTGGGACAAAGATGATGATAATTATCTCTGTTTTATAGTTCATAATCTGCACCCTAATGATGTAACTGAAAACTTAAAATGGGATGTGAACCCAAAACTCCTATATAAGTGCCTTAACCACAAGACCTATGTTTCCTTTCTAAAGTAGACAGTGGTTTGAGGCATGACATAAAGTTTAAACCTAATTACTTAGATGTCTATAGCACCTTTATCATTAACATAATGGGACGAGTAGAGGACAAATGTCACTGTGTGCATGCACCCACATGCAATCCAAAATTCACATTTGGCCTTCCCAAAAACTGTCTGAAAAATTCTCAGGTGTTGTCCATCTCTCGTTTTTCAAATTTATTGGAAAATAAAAAGAAAGTAAACTGACCAAGAACCTCCTGCTATCTCACAGTTTGACTTTGTAAAGTCAGGCATGGGAAACTCCCTCAAACAAAAATATGTTAAAGTGTGCTGTAAAAAAATGACAATGTTTTTCTTCAAGGGCAGTATTTTCTGATCTTGAAAGGCATTTAAAACCATAAAACAAATTGTGCAAATGTGTCTTACCTATATTTTTACATGGTCTTGACGAGCAGCTATCAACTCCTGAAAAATACAAAATAGTTTTCTGTTTAAAATTCAAAAAGAGACATGCAGGAACAGGGGCTGAGCCATGCAATGTTAAGATGCTGAAGTTATTTTCTAATTTGTGTCATTAGGCTATCTGATCCTGTCTGTGCTACACTATAAAATCATATGGTGTGATAAAAGCACAAAATATAAAAATCAAATTAAAAAGAAAATGCATTGAGCAAGAACTAATATTGATCATACATCTAGCATTTACAAATTCTTAAAACGCAAGTTTTAAGTAATAGATGTACTTCATAAATAGAAGCTGAGATGAAAGTAAAATTAACCCCAAAATGCTGAGGAAATCTGCCCCCAAACAAAAGAGCTTACTTTTGATTTCTCATGAATCCAGAGTCTGCAATGAGGCAGCATTATACTTTGTTTCCACACCGAAATGGTCATTTTGGTCTATGTTCTTTCTGTTTCCCCCATTGCTCAGCACTGCATCAAAACGTCTTTTTATGGCACATCCAGAATGAATAGCTAGAAGACGCTCCAACACATACAGCAAGAAAATATTCAAGCAATGCATATGGGTTTGTTCCTTTTTCAATAGCAACTTTTTCTCTTCTTGATTATCAAACTGTATTCGGTCCATTGTGCATAGGCAGCCTCCATTACAGGAGATGGGCACATTTTTAATAATTGTTCTGGATTTGTTTTTTAAGCCACTGCCTCCATCACCACGCAGTATGGCAATAATGAGTGGAATTTCCTGGCTGGGTTGGTGGTACGTACTGCTTTGAAATGGTTTGTATGTCAGTACTGGCAGCATAGCACAGCCTAACAGTGTTTCATTTGGAATTTTTCTTTTTATGGTGCTCTAAAATTAAAGATACAGACAGGAACGCAGACAAGTAGAAAAAAACCTGTATCTGCTTTTCCTGTTTTCTGATAGCCTTCTAGAGTAAGTCCTTCAGAGGCTGCTTAGACTGAAATATACTCTACATCAGGATTTTATGATGCTAAGGAAATATGGGGCAAATACTTAAAGACTTTGATGCACCATCCTATTCTTGTTGTTACTGCTACATAGTGGTCTAGATCCACACAGCTTAGGTCCCCAACTGTGCCAGGTATTGCACTGACTACACAGCATAAATAATCTTTTTCCCAAGGCACCTGTTATCTTTGACACCCAGCCTACATATGCAAAGGAACAGAAGATTATTCTCATTTGGGTACCTTTGTATGCTCTCAACTCTTTCTGGATGGAGGCAATCTTTTAGTGCCCATGCTTTTTCCTTCTTTGAATTCTTGCTCCCCAATCACTACCATTGGCAAGGGCATTGCAATGAATGATACTCGTTTAAAATATTTTTACTGTGACACATAAGCTAATGGACTTCTGGAAGGCATTTTGTGATGCTCAGTTAGAAAGCAATAGAAACTGTTATCCCTTTTTGATTGATTTACCCTCTTCCTAGTTATCACACTCTTCCTGGTTTACTGTGCACAGTCAGCACCCTTATCTAATTCAGCGACAGTTCTAATATCTGTACTTCTCTCAGGACTATTACTTAAGTGTGTGATAACAGACAAGGTATTTGGCATTTTGTACCACTGGTGTGAAGATAAGACAGACAAAACACACAGCTCACCAACACACAGTGAAATAGAGCTCTAGATATGCTGAAGGCACAAATACACAAAGTGCAAGCCCTCATAATGGCATATAGTCTGAAAAGCTGAAAGCAGAGGTCAAATAAAGAAACAGTTCTTGATGACTTGCATGTTGCATGGTGAAAGAAAACAGCTGCTATGAGAACAGCATTTGAAATAAAGGTCTTTTAAAATGCTTTTAAAATGTTTGATGGTCTGTAGTTTGGTAACATACCTTTAAAATTAGGCCCAACAGCAGACAAATTATTTAGGGAAGGGAAGAAAAGAACAAGTGTATTGATATAGCAGAAGCTAGGGAGCATGGTGAATATGTAAGCTGACCTGATACTTTTGAGTAGCACCCACCCATAGCTGAGACCTCTCTATTTGTCACTGGTCATCTGAGAGGAGAGGTGGATGCTGACTGTTGGGGCAGCCACGGAGCCAAGTGGTACCATATTCCCCCAGTGCCCCAGAGGAGCGTGGGGCTACCCTACTCTGAGTGCGAAAGCAATAGCTTTGAATTTCATTTCTCTTTCTGTCACTGAGAATAGTTCAATTTTACTGCTAGCTAATGAAATTGCCCTTTCATACCGGGTGGTTTAAAATGTTTGTCAGGGATCATGGTTTTAATCCTTGTTTTTAATGGAAAAGGACAGAGGGAGGTCATTGGGCACGTAGTTCCTGTGACCTTGTGGCAAGCTGAAAGATCATTTTGTATCCTCTCAGGTCCAGAAGCCTTAACTGTCCGTTTTCAAGAAGGACTCAGTAATGTATTTCTCTGAGTGAGCATTTTGGTAAATGTGATGCAATTAGTATTCCTCTGAAACAAGTGACCATGTAGAAAAGTGTGCTTAGCATAGTATAATGAGAGAACATTTTAAAATGAGATTAACAGTGCCTGAGATTAAAACACAAAATTGTCTACATGGATGACCACAATGGGTGAGATCTGATATGAATTTCCAACTCACTAGCTATTCTGCATCAGCTCCTGATGTGAATGCTCTCACTGCATACTAAAACGTGACTTATTCCCCCCTCCCTGTGCCTGACTGCTGTTCTCCTGTGCCCATTTGTACCGGTTCATTCTTAGGGTAATCCTATGGAATTGTAACACTCTCGTTAATGGCCAGACATATTTGGGATGTCATTTGCCAAGCTACAGTCAGCATAAATGTACATTTGGTGAGATGGGAGATAGGAAACTGGGGTTTAAACGTCCAATAATATTGAGAGATTCACTCACTAAACCTCCCTAAAAATATGTGAATAAAAGACAACATCATGGTATTATTGAAAATGACAGAAGAATCTCACAGGTTCAGTAGTAAAAATGCTTGGATTTGGCTGTAAGGTTCCTTTTTGGTATTTTTCATAAAAGAGCTAATTCAAGTGCATATGAAGGCTTTGAGACAAGAGGAAACAAATCTTTCATTTGTTTCATAGCAGTGTCATGCTGTGGAGTTGCATAGAGTTGTTACTGGCTCACCTTATGTGAAGCAGAGTGTCAAGACAAATACCGTGGTTCAGATGTAAATCCAAGAGATGAACATGTGTATGAAAGTAACATCTTGCTATGTTAAACTGTGAAAGAAGGGGGGGGGGTATACATTCTATGTATATGTGTATCTACAGTCATGTACATTTCCGTCTCAATTTCGTCTTTACTGCAGTGGGAAAGAACTTTGGCAGAAGTTGGGGAATTTTTATGGTAGTATGCATGGACACTGAGGCCAATGGAGGGCGGGTTATTTTCATTTTAATGGGATTACAATTTTGGACTTTCTGGTTCCTCTTTGGCAGACCCAATCCTATTTGCAAACATCACCAATCCATTACACATTTTGGTCCTAACAGAAGTTTAAAAAAAAACTTTTGATTGATTTTAAAACTTGGGGTTTAGGGTAGGAGAATAGAATACTCTTGCTTGGTTTTCTTGGTCTTTGTTTTATCTGCCCCAGCTCTAAGAAAACTAAGCAGCTGATAAAAAGAACAAGTATAATTTTACTTGGGTTTGCCTCTGAAGATGAGCAAGGAGAGTGCAGACCCTGTCTTTAAAACAAACATATTTGTTTTGTTAATACTAAACGGGTAATGAAATCACACACAGTTTTTTCAGTTGCTATAGCTTTGACCCTTCAAGGCACTCTGAAAGATAACACTGTCAATTCAGTGTTATTAGTTATATGCCTAGAACTAATTTGTTCCTATCTTTCAGGAATCAAGGATTAAGAGAGGAAAGCAGTGCTTCTGGGCAAAGCAAGTAATGGCCAGAATTACTCTAGGAAGCGATCTATAATCTGAATTATTTCTGTCGTATAACATATATTGTGAAATACGGAAACTCTTATAAAATATACCACTAACAAAGCAGCCATTGTTGATAATATTTCAGACACCCTTTTAAGAAATGACCACGATTTCCTCCTGTATTGACAACAGGAGATCTGTGGGTGAACAGTGATAATGCTTTGCAAATATTGGCGTGCAAAAGCTCATGTGCAACGTTTCATAGCAAAGGCCTCAAGTGCTATGGAATCCTATAGCTCTGTACTCCAAAATCCTGTTGCCTGTGTTTTTCTACAGGCACCAGAGGCTCCATGCTCTTACAAACAATTCCTTTATCACAATTGGGTTATCAAATCATAATACACATATATACACATATATCACCTTCTGTGACCTATTTACATTGAAAAAAGCCATCCATAGATCACAAGTAGGGCTTGCTAATCACTAAGTTTAAAAAAAAACCAAAATCTTAGAAGTTACTCTGCTTTTAGTCCCAAAAATTTGCCACAATGCTTGGCAGCACTCTCTGGAGTGCTAGCTTGTTCTCTAAATGAGAGTATCACGCTAAAGTGTCCTACATCAAGCCGATCTTTTACAGCCCTTTTTAGCAAGAATGATAATAATTAGTACTTTTTATGCTGAAAGCACTGTAAGGTAAAAAGCCTGAGAGATACCATTTCTTGTTACAGGCAGTCTCTTTCTCCTGCCATCTCCTATCCCCAGCCCCCTGCTCAAATCCTATTCTCCATATATGAAAGAAAGGAGAAAGAAGGGAGAAATGCTGGTATCAGATAGAACAATTATTTGCACCCTTAAAATTGCAGCCTATTTCTTCCCACAAGGAATGGCCTTTTAGATAGCTCTGGCCACATGTAAAAGTATGCTTGTCAAGTATACCTGCTAAATTGACTAGCTGAGAAATACTTAACAAAATTGATAGGATTTTTTGTCAGTAGATTTAAGAATAACTTTTCAAGGAGAAAAAAAGCAGCTCATGTCCCTTTAGAGATACTGATCACAATCCTCCGTCCCTGTGATTTCACCCATCTTTTCAATGTATCTGAAAACTCAGTATCCTATTGCTGTATTAGTTAACCTTCAGAAGGGTATCTGCATTGCCTAAAGAGCTGGAAACTGTTTTTTATTTAAATGAAAGCTTAAATTCTATGTGAAACCTCAGGAGTACTTAAATTCTACAGGGGGACTTGAAACCTATCCTGTATCACCAGAATTTCAGAAGCAAACACATTCAATAGCCCTTCGCATGACCTTCAAAGGAACATGTTTAGATGGTGCTCAGTAACTAAATCTCAGGTCTTACTTACATGACACATCATACCAAATCCTTGGACAGTATATGTATGAAAAAAAGACTCTTCTTAATCAGATTTTATCTGTATTTCTATCCTGGCCTGGTAATATGTGGGTTAGAGATAAATGCAGATAAATGTGAGCTCTGGTATTTTACTTTGCATAATTGTGATAAAACACTGAAACTTGAAAAACGCTACATCCATGTTTATGGCTGGACTGAGATCAGTGCTGTCACCATGCCAACGCAGCATTAGGAATGCTACAGTTCCTTTTAACTCAGTCTGCATTTCAAGCCTGCACCAAAACGATCTCATCCACTCTTCCATGCCACATACATTTTTCATAGTATAAAAATTCCCAGCCCAAAAAAGAGCAGGTTTAATATCAATATTTTGGCTTCTCTTTATTAAGCCATTCACCGTCATGCTGCTGTAAGACCTTATGCCCAGCAAGGGAATCGGGCTGGAGCACCACAGTCTAAAAAGCTAGAGGGTAACACTGAGCAGATGAGCTAAAGAATACAAACAATGAAAATTTGTACTTTCTAGTTTCAGAGCAAATGCCCTGTGCTGGCAGGAATTCTCTTCCCACCAGTTCCAGTGATATTTAAGTTGAGAGTGGTCTTTTTGCAGCTGTTTCCCTTAATTACCTTTATTCCTCCAACCCCTTGCTATCATGCCTCATTTAACGTCTCCTGTCACTGGGTGAGTTATATTCCATAGAGACATCTACTGCAAGGAGAATAATCCAAAATGCTACTCACCATACAGGGCTTCAAACTGAAAGCAGAGAACACAGAAAGTTACAGCAACCAACTTCATGCTCGCCTGACACAGAAGTACCAGCCTTCTGTCTGCTGTGAAGATGGGGAAGAATTCATGGGTAGAAAAGGAAGTGGTTCGTGGGCAATGGGGGAAATTATATGGTAATCAGAAGGACTTTTTAATTTAACCCCTGACTACGTTATAGCTATGTCAGCATTAGCTGTCGCCCACACCTGTGGAGTTTGCTGCTTTTTTTTTGTTCCTACCTCATGGCTTGCTGTCACAGACAGGAAGATGAAAGATTTTCTGACGTTACAATTGATGTTCACTTCTGCAAAGACTGTTTCTGGTTAAATCTATCACGATAGAAGCTACAGTCATCTACAGTACACTTCCTGCAGATGGCCTGTGGTCAGCAACTTGTTCCTTAAATTAATTTACAATACATGCATATTTGCAACTGGCAACCTGGTTTCTCCCCACCAGTTTCAGCTACTCTTATGTAACTGATGGTCTTGCGCGCTGTGGAAACTGTTAGTAGGGTGTAGGAGCCTCTTGTGAGTCCTGGTCCTGGAATTCATTGGAAGAACATGTCCAAATTGCAGAAGGATGCCCTCAGCCCTGAGACTTCCTGAAGGCTCACTCCGATGTGAGACTTCCACCCTGGAGGTCAGGCTTGCTCTGCATGGACGAGAGACTTCATGTGGCTCTGTGAGAGGAGGAGATCTGACCCAGTGCCCTAGGGTCTTAGGTCAAAAGTTTATCTCCTTCCCTCTCCCTGCTTTTGTGCAGCACACTGTGTTCTGGCCTGATATCCATCTGTATTCTGGGAATGTTTTAGGACCCTTTGGGATAACATGTTCTACAGTCATTTAGAACTGGCTATTTATTTACACATATAATACTAATTTTAGTGCAGATAACATGCTAGAAAAGCAGCTTCTAAATCACGTTTAATATATTAGATGCAGTTAGCATTTCTGATTGCACAAAGAGAAGACACAAAGGACTAATAGTGGTGCCTGACAGACACTCCTGGCGTTGAGTCCCTGTAATGGTCATGCAGTGGTACCAAATAATTTGTGAATAACAGGACTGGGTTACAGATTCACTCCTACTTTGTACTGTATGAATAAATCTTCACATGTTGTTTTACTCTTCCTCAAAGAGTGATTTAATTTCTTTCACTACTACTGCTAAAGACCTGTTCACATGGACACTGGCAGAGAGTTTTACTCTCAGCAAATCTTTGCAAAGCCCTGCAAATCTTTGCCTTTTGTTAAATTAAAATCAGAGCTAAGCCTGAGTCAGGATTTGATCTAAATTTTCAGTTCAGGTCTCTGGAGCCAAGCTTAAACAACTCTAACTAGAGAAGGTTTCTGCAGTATACTTTTAATTCTGAAGCTCAGGAGTAATGTATGGAGGTTCAAGCAATGCTAAAGCTGGAAAAAGATATATCTGACTCCTGAGCTTTGCCTATGAAGTTATGACCCACATTGGGATCTACTGAGGTTCCAGGTAGGACCATCTTTCCCATCCCCCATAGCAACTTATGGGAAGTGTTGAAACAACAGAGCAACCCTCTGCTGAGATAGGACCTTTATTGCCCCCCAAATAAATGTAAGACAAGCAGCCAGAAAGTCTTATAGTAAGAAGAGTTGCTACAAAATTAAGGGAGGAAGAGAATCACGTGTAAAGCACCCCCACCCCCACCTTTGGGAGAGCATGCAGACAACACACCAAGGACCAAGTCCCTACAAAGCCTATAGCTGGCTGGGAAGGCCAATAAAGGTGTAGGGGAACGTACTCCTTTGAGCAAAGTTTTAGCTATTTTTTGTGAAAACAGGCTTTAAAACAAATCAGTATTGTTAGGGTTCAAAAATGTGTTGTTGTCCTGGTTTCAGCTGGGATATAGTTAACTGTCTTCCTAGTAGCTGGTACAGTGCTGTGTTTTGAGTTCAGTATGTGAAGAATGTTGATAACACTGATGTTTTCAGTTGTTGATCAGTAGTGTTTAGACTAAAGTCAAGGATTTTTTTCAGCTTCTCATGCCCAGCCAGGGCACCTGACCCAAACTGGCCAACAGTGTATTCCATACCATGTGATGTCCCGTCTCGTTTAGGAACTGGGAAGTGGGGGGCAGGGATTCGCCGCTCGGGGACTGGCTGGGTGTCAATCGGCAGGTGGTGAGCAATTGCCCTGCGCATCATTTGTACATTCCAATCCTTTTATTACTACTGTTGTCATTTTATTAGTGTTATCATTATCATTATAGTTTCTTCTTTTCTGTTCTATTAAATCGTTCTTATCTCAACCCAGGAGTTTTACTTCTTTTCCTGATTTTCTCCCCCATCCCACTGGATGGGGGGGGAGTGAGTGAGCGGCTGCGTGGTGCTTAGTCGCTGGCTGGGGTTAAACCACGACAGTTGTCTTTCTTAAAAATTTAAACATTTTGCCAGGAACGTATTTTTGAATGAGAAGAGATTTTTTTTTTTTTTACCAATATAGTTATCTTGGAGAAACTTACTCCTTCCCTCCCCTCTCTGTGACCTTATCAGTTATAGCAATGCAAAGATGAATAATACACATCTATTTCCCTCCTGGAGTAAGAATAGCTACCAGCGTAGCTTGGTTGGCATAGGTCTTGCTACAACAATTGGAGCAAGTCCCACTGTCCAGTAAACAGTTTGTATTTGTCCTCTCTTTCTTCTGTCATCATAGCCTCAAGTCTGGAATTATCCCTTCTCCTTTTCTGCTTCCTGGCACTTGGGATTGCTAGAACACACTGCTCACTTTGTTTCAAAAGGGTCCAGCCCAGGGTACACTTTGGGGTACATTTGCCAGCACTCTGAAGTCTGATCTAGACAGTGATTTCTTCTGGTGGTCGAGTGTATTTGATGATGAGCCAGAGGCACTCAGAGTGTATGTTCACAAGCGAAGACACACAAAGTCTAGCTTGGGGCCAAGCATAAGGGATGCTTATCTTCTAGCCCCACACCAACAGAGACTCCTCCATTGCCTTTCAATCCCTCTGTCTTTGCCTCCCTCCTCTGTCAGTGCTTACCTACTTCACAAAGACAATGTGACTGCAATTTGGAAATGTTTCTTGCAAATCCTACGGTTGGTTACAGTTAACCACCTGGGACAAGCAGTCTGTTTCCACAACACACTTCCTATAACTGCAACTATTTTTGCTCACAAACACGTGTTTCCTTTTTCCATCCTCACTCATTTCTCTTCTCTTTATCTTGATTTTCACTCTCTCATCCACATATACCTCTCAGAGCTGACTTCCTTCCTCCTCTAACCTGACTGTCCCCCAGTCCCTGCCTACCCTTCTTCTCAAGCAGAGTCTGCCCTTCAGTAAGTGCAGTAACTCCTTTCTGGAATGTAGCTTCTCCTTCCCATGAGCCCCATTCTTTCTTCTTGTCCTACCTCCAACACTACCCTACAGTGATAAACTCCTTTTTCTCCTATCATCTTGCTTCCAACTTGCCATCACTGATTATTACAACCTGAAAAATCCTTATGGGCATTTTTATGCCTTTAAAAATGCATCCAGTGATACATCCAGTTCCAAAGAGAAATGGGCTTGGTCATCCCTCGGTCTGTACACCGGTGTTCTCTACTATGTGTTCTTCAATGCTTCTCCATTCTAACTCCAAGCGACTTGGAAAACAACAGTTCTGCTGCTTCCCTAAGAAGACTGATTCACAGCAAAGATTTCCTCTTTGTGTGATGCACAATGTATATTTTTCTTTGCTCTGTTTAATCACATAACTCTTATTATATTTACTGTTATCACCCTAAACAACATCCATGTTAGCAAAATGCTACTGCATTGTTTGCCATGAAACAAAGCTGGTATTTACATTGAAGTAGCTTCTTCTGTCTCACCATCAGTTTTCCAGGTCTGCTTGTGGATGATGAGCAGTTGCCCACAGCAATATAAAATATTCTCTCAATAAAATGTTTTGTGATTCTTTCTGCAGAGGCTGCTACAGTCTGTCCACGTTATATTCTGTTGTCTCCTGCTGCTTCTCATTCTTCGCTTCAATATCTGGCCTATATTCTCATGACTCTGGGTCATTCCCTCAGGGCTGGAGTAGAAAGCCTCCACACTCATGCGTTTCCTGTCCTCCTAATTGAGAAGGGAAACAATGACTTTCACTGTGCTATTTTTAAGGTTCTGTGATGGCTTTAAATCCCACTTCCCATCTGCATCACTCCCCATTATGTGTGTAAACAAGCTGCAGTCAGTCAGGATGTAGAGATTTCAGCCTGAAATGCAGCTCATGTGCTCCCTCATTTGTTCTGATGCTTCCTTTGCTGATGTATTGGTCTGATCTCTCCCATAGGCCTGTGGGGCATGCTGTAATATTCTCTCCATCAACGTGCCAGAGGAGGCTACCAGGTCTCAGCTCAGCAGTAGGGCAAACACCTACCTGCAAAGCAGATCTAATGAGACAGTCCCCTTTGGGGTGTGAGTGTGTGCAGCTTTGCTTCTCGGCACAAGCTCAGGTACCCCATGAATCACTTTTTTTTTTTTTTTTTTTTTTTGGATGATGCTTGAGAATATTTCATTGTCATCAACTTTCCTAAAAGAGGAAAAAACCCATGTATGTTAAGGAATTAAGCCCAGATCTAACACATGCAAGGGCATTGACCTATAAACTCAGTCAACAGGTGCCAAGTGGCAAATTCAGTCAGTCTAAACAGATTGCCCAGAGAGGTGGTAGATCCCCCATCCCTGGAAACATCCAAGGTCAGGCTGGACGGACCTCTGAGCAACCTGATCTAGTTGAGGATGTCCCTGCTTATTGCAGGGGGGTTGGACTAGATGACCTTTAAAGGTCCCTTCCAACCCAAACGATTCTATGGTTCGATGATTCTAAATGCCACTTCAAATCTTGTGACTAATGTTTTGGACTGGGTGGCTCAAGGCATTGAGAGCCATCTAGGCAAAAGACTGTCTCCATCTGGTCTCAGGGGCTGCTATGCCTCTGCATATCCAGCCGCTGTGCCTGCTGCAATACAGTTATCTAAAGAGGTACCTAACCACTTCTC